TCTTTTGAAGGACATGTGGATTGTTTCCAGTTTGGGGTTATCTCTATTAAAGTAGGTATGAGAAACTATATCAGATTTTTGTGTAAGAATACTTTTTCCTTTCTCTGTGATAACTGTCCAAGAGTGTAATTGCTGGGTCACATGGTACTAGCATGCTTACTTTTTAAAGAAACTGACAAACTATTTTCCAAGGTAGACATACTATTTTGTTTTCCTACCAACACTAGTATATCTCCATCCTTGCTAGTATTTGTCATCATCACTATTTTTTATCTTAGGCATTCTGATATGTAGGTGATGATATCTCATTATGGATTTAACTTACATTTTCCTAATGATGGTGTTGAACATCTTTTCTTATACTTACATGCCATCTGCATATTCTATTTGGTGAAATGTCTAATGATGGGGGGTTTTGCCCATTTTCTAATTGGATGTTTTACTGTTGAATCTTAAAAATTCTTTATAATTCTAGATACTGGTCCTTTACTAGAAATGTGGTTAGCAAATATTTCCTAACAGTCTACAGTTTGTTTTTTCATCCTCYTTAACAGGTTCTTTTGCAGAGAAAAAAAAGGCTTAATATGGATATGATCTAAATTGTCAAATTTTCTTTATGGATCATTCTTTTAGTGTGAAGTCTAAGCTCTCTTTGCCTAACCATAGATCCAGAAGCTTTTCTCCTATTTTTTTTCTGAAGGTTTTATGGCTTTACAATCAAGTTAATTTTTGTATAATACATGACACTTAGGAAAAGGTTTATTTTTTTTCCTGTGGACATCCACTTTTTCCAGTATCATTTGTCACAAAGATTTTCAGTCTTTCATTGCTTTTGCACCTCCGTCAAATCAGTTTGTGTGGATCTCTGTGTGATCTATTCTGCTCCAGATCAGTGTGTCCCTGTCTCCACTAACAGCCCACAGTCTTGATTACTGTATCTATATAAAACTTGAAATAAGGTACACTGATAACTTTCAACATTATTCTTCTTTTTCAAAGTTATTTTAGCTTACTGCTRTATTTGCTGTTAAGTACAATACAATTTGCTAGGATCAAATGGCTTTGAACATACTTAAAAGTAGATATCTTTTACTTATTCCAGTAATTCAGCTGTTATCCCAACTTAGATATTTGATTACTGATCTAATACTTTTCCTCTTTCCTAAAGTATACATTTAGTGCTATAAATGTCCTCCTCAGCATTGCTTTACATGTGGTCCACAAATTTGATATGTTATACCTAGAAAAAGCAAAAGAATGAAGGTCTATTTACATAGCCATAGTTTTGTTTACTGCAAACTTTCTTTTTTCCCAGTTCTCCAAAAATCTTTTTTTTTCCTTCCTGATTAGAGCTCTTCCTTTGGCCATGCTTTCAGGGTAGGACAAAATCTCTTAGTTTTCTTTAATCTGAGACCATCTTTGTTATGGTTTAGATATAAAGTATTCCCCAAAAGCTCATGTGTGAGATAATGCAAGAAAGTTTAGAGGTGAAATGATTGGGTGATGAAAGCCTAAACCTAATCAGTATATTAAGCCTCTTGAAYGGATTAACTGGGTGGTAACTGTAGGCATGTAGAGTGAACCTAGAGGAGGTAGGTCACTGGGCATGTGCCTTTGAGTTTATATTTTGCCCTTGGTGAGTGGAGCTCGCTCACGCTCGCTCGCTCGCTCTCTCTCTCTCTCTCTCTCTCTCTCTCTCTCTCTCTCCCTGCTTCCTTGTTGCCATATTCTAATCTGCTTTACTCCTCCACATCTTTCCACCATGACTTTCTGCCTCACCTTGGGCCCAGAGCAATGGAGTTAGCTATCTATAGACTGAGACCTCATAAACTTTAAGCCATAAATAAATTTTACCTTGTTTTTGTCAGTGTTTTGGTMGCAGAAATTAAAAAGCTGACTAAGACAGTCTTGATTGCCCTTTCATTCCTGAGAAATAATTTCATGGAAACAGAATTGAGCAGACAATTCTTTTCTTTCAGCACYTGAAAAATGTTGTACCAATAACTTTTGACTGCTGGGTTTCTGATAAGAAATCTATTGTCATTCAAGTTGCTTTCCCTTGTAGGTAACATTATTTTTCTACTTTTGAGATTTTTGTCTGTAACTTCAGTTTTCAGAAGTGTAAATATTAAATGTCTTGTCATGGATTTCTTCAGTTTGGGATTCACTCATCTTCTTCAATTTGTAGATTTATATTTCTTATCAAATTTGGAGACTTTTTAGACACTATTTGGTTGAGTACTTTTCAATCCTGCCTTATCTTTTCTCTCCTTCCAGGACTGTGATGACATGAAGATTACATTTTTTTGTTTAATTTCAGAAGTTTCTAAAAGCCTATAGATTTTTGTTTTGTTTTGAATTTTGTCAGTCTAGTTTCTCTTTTTCACTTGAGGTCAGTCTTATTGTTCTATCTTTGAGTTCATTGATTCTGTCCCCTAGGTTCTCCATTAAGCTGGGGAAACCATCCACACAGTTTTTATTTCAGTTATTGTATTTTTCAGCTTGAAATTTTTTCYTTTGGTTCTCCTGAGACTTTTTACTTCTCTGCTAAGACTTTCTATTTTTTCTCATTTTTTCAAATATGTTCATAATTATTTACTAAAGCATTTTTGAGGGCTGCTTTAAAGTTTTTGTCAGATAATCCAAACATCTCAATACTGGCACCTACTGGTTTTGTTTTGTTTTGTTTTGTTTTGTTTTGTTTTGTTTTGTTTTGTTTTGTTTGAATGAAGGTGTTCTTGATTCTTGGCATGACAAGCAATTTTTCTATAAAAACTTGAACATTTGAGGTATCATTAAAACTCTGGATCTTATTTAAACTTTCTGTTTTAGGTGGCTTCCTCTGCCACTACTCTAATAAAGCACTGGGAATAGGGCAGGCAATGCCTCATTACTGCCAGGTAGGGATAATGATTCAGGTTCCCCATTCAGCCTCCACTAGGATCAGGGTTGGGGGCCTCTTTGTTACTGTTGGATGGGAAAACAGGAGTTCTGATTCCCTATTAGGCTGCTGTTGACACCATCCTGGTTGGAAAGAATAAAAGTACCACATTACTTACCCTTATCATTATCTTATTATTATCTCATTACCCTTACCATCTCTAGTGACACCACAGGGAATATGGAAATGATGGCCTCTTTTTTTTTTCTAGTTGTATACAAAGTATATTCAAAAATGGCCTTTTTATTGCTGTATATTGTTCAAAGTTTGGACCCTCCACTGACATCAACCCTTCTTAATTTGGGTCACCAAAGTACCAAAAACAAAAAAAGGATACAAATGAATATTTTAGCAGAATAAAATTTGCTTTCTAATATTCATTATTTATTTGATGTTCTTCCTTCATATACCCCAATTCCAGTTGAGTCCTCCAAAATGTATTCTTTCTTATGGGCCTTTACCCTGCTATACAACTTTCCTCAACTGTACAGGACCTCTGAGCAAGTTTCTAATACCAGCCCCTCTTTATGTCTAGTAGCTTGACTATGCYATAAAATATATAGCCCATCTTAAAAGAATACTGAGGCCTTTCTCCTCTTTGCTAAGGCCCTTCAGTTGGGCATTCTTAATTCCTTTTCCAAAAAGATTTGCAAAAAAAAAAAACTAACTAGAAATACTCCATTTAAAATGACTCAAGAAGTCGTGCTGATCTTGTTCAGTAAATGGGGGGGGTCTTAATTCAGAATACTTGCGATATTCTGGTCAAAGATGACACTAGAGACTCTAGCTCATATATGTTTTTGTTTCTCTTTATGATCATGTTCCTCAAATCACAGCCAAGAGTGTATTTGGGGGATGAAACTATTTCAAAGACATAATTTGGTGGCAGTATTCTTTGTACAACAATAGATTTGAGGCTGCAGCCAAAAACAGCAGTAGAATCTTCTTCCCCCTTACTATCATCCCCTTTGTCATTCTCAAATAGTCTCTCTGAGTCTCTCTCTCTCTCTCTCCTTCCCCCCAACCTCCCTTTATTGTGGGACTAATGTTCCCTTGTTAYTATTTGCTTTGAATGCCCCCACCAGAGCAAAGTCTATATAATCGACAAAATATCTTAAACTTAAATATGACCCTATCTAACTTTGCTTCCTCTGAGGGACATATCATAGTTGACAAATGGGCCTTCCTGGAAACTATTCCAATCTAGTCTTTACCAGGAGACAACAGGTGGAATTCCAGCTCTACCATGCTTTAGCTGTAGAATCCTTGTGCCAATTCTTCAGTCTTACTAAAGCTAGCAGGCCTCTTAAATAAAACAGGACTTTTACTGGTATCTATCTACCTGATGCTGTTTTTATTAAGAAAAGATGCACATAAAGTGTGTCCCATAGTACTTTGCACACAAGAAGCACGTCTAAGTCTTTATAATTGGAGAGACCTAGGAAATACATTTTTAATTGCTTCAAGAGAACTATTTTCACTGAAAATACAGAATTCTTATCAGTTAAATTTCTTAATTGTAGCATACTGAACTCCTTAGGACAAAAACTCACCTTTATTGTACTTCATTACTGATAAGGCTAAACAAACAGAAAAAGAGCAAGTTCTTCATATGAAATGCCTGTTATTTCATTACTAAATAATCACAGTTTTTGAAAGTAAAGGTAACCTGTGATTTATTATTCCAGACTTTAGCTAATATAATAATCTTTAAACCAGATTTTKGAATAATCTCCCATATTCCTTCACTTCAAAAAGAAGACACACTCCTTGAATGAAAATTCAAAATTYAAATGAAATACAAAGAAGATCAATGACTCTATCAATGACTCATCATCATATATGATGTGTTCGTGTTAGAAAACATCATATATGATGAAATATTATATGTAATGAAATAACATGTATCTTAAATAATGTATGCATCAACAGCTTATATAGAATATATGGGACAGATATATAGAGAGATTTATCTATAAAGAGAGATCAGTACATATATMTCTCTCTACTAAAAGCTGTTTTACCCAGGAAAAACATAACSGCCGTTCTGGTCACCTACTTCCAGTTTTATGTCGTAGTTCTGGCCCAGGATGCTCTGTATGAGCTCTCTGATGATCTGGTCAGAGGCCAGCTGGGCCTCSGACTGCAGCGAGGTGATGACCTCCTCGATGGTTCTGGGGATCACTCTGGTGGGCAGCAGCTCAGGCTGGGCGACCTCCTGCACATCCCTAAGCAGGCCACTCTCCCACACTGCTTTGGAAATGGACCCGTCTGYCTCCGACCCCCTGGGGACTGAGCCCTGGCTCATGAAGTGAGCGCGAACCTTTACTCTCCTCCGCCACCAGCCCGCCTCCCAGTCGCTGTCCTCGCTGGAAATGGAGCTGGTCTTCCTGTCTTTGGCTCTCTGGGCCTCTGAGAACTGAGTTATCTCCTGGTTTGCTTCTTGCTCCTCTGCCAGGTCGACGACCCGCCTGGCCGCTGCGGCCCGCGGGCTCCCGGGACTCAGGCGCGCTCTTGACTTGCCCAGGGACGAGGGCAGCGGCCGCAGGACCACAGGTTTAGAAGTGCCGACGTCCGGAGTGATGATCGGCGGTATCTTCTGGATCCTGTACCGCAGGAACGCGGAGCTCCGCAAGTAAAATTCCTGGGGACGAAATGGTCTGGTCTTTCGCACAGCGAAAGCCTCGCTCGGGCTCGAGGGGCGCGCTATCCCTTGGAGCGCCTCCTGCAGGAAGACCCCAGCAGCCGTCGCAGGGACTTTGGCGGGAGGGGACCCTTTGGAAAGGGTTCGGAGAGCCGTGAAGGAACCTTCGCTCCTCTTCTCCCCAGGGCGGGCCGGACGGCGGTGGTGGTCTAGTCCTTCATTTGGAATCAGGTTAGACGCCAACTTCTGCTTGAATTTGAGAAAGTCCTTTTTAGCCTCCTGGCGAACCTTCTCCAGCTCTTTAAACAGGAGGGATTCTTCTCTGGATTTCAGTCCAAAGTGCTTTTTGAAGGTGGACATCTTGACAAATTTGACCTGTAAAATACCCCCAACACATTAAAACACACACACACACACACACCAAAAAAAAAATTATATATTTTTTAAACAAATTTTTGTTAATACATAAAATTCCAGTTTAGCAAAGCTGCTCATGATAGGGCCTCGTTGTGCTCCTTAGGCAAAACTGCATGAAATAATTTTACATCCACCTACCCTCTTTTCACATGAATCATGAAAACCYTGTAACGCAGTAATGTTTTTCAATAGGAGTTTCCCAAGCTTGGATCTATTTTAACATTTCTTTGGAGTATAATGTGGAGTTCTACTTCCAGGGAAGGAAGAACCTGCTAGGCATAGAAAATCTCAAGTAGCCCCGCTCACAGAGAACAAACCTCACCAACTGACCTGTGGCCTAGGTCCAGCCCACAAACATGGTTTCCAATTGTTCCGTTTTTTAAAAATGTTAATTAATAGCCAACAATTTTAAACTGGGAGATTTTTACATAAAAATCCAGATTTGCAGTTTCAGGGGGCTGGGGAGGGCTGGTGGTGGTAAGGGTTCTGGCAATACAAGGGCCAAACAAATGCCTGCTCTTGTGGCTGATAGCTGTTCCCAGGTTCTTCTCTAGCAGGTCCCAGGTGTCTCCCTCCCTTACCCAGCCCAATTCCCTCAATGTGCCACCTGTGCTACAGCAGAGTATACAGAGGGAGGTGGTCAGCCTCAAGGTTGAGTACAGACAAATTATAAGCCTTGGATGCTGAATATTTGTACTTTTTCTGTGAGCTACAGAGAACCATTCAAAAATTTTAGAAGTGACTTGATAGGACCTGGTGCTTGGGGATATTGATATGGAGTAAATGAAACAATACAGGCAAGAAGGGCACTAACAGCCTCTGTAGCTTGAGCCTTTTCTAGGCTTAAAAATGGAGCAGAGTGAAAACAGAAATATTACAAGGTAAAACTAGTAAGGCCTGCCAATGATTAGGAATAAATAGGAATAACTAAAGCTCCTTCATAATATAGGGACTTCAAGAGGCTGGGAATGTATTTAAGTGATCCAGTGTTTGCCTATTATGCAGGAGGCCCCGGGTTAAATCCATAGCACTAAATAATAACAATATTAATAATAATAATAATAATAATAATAATAAGGACTTTGAATCATCATGATGAAGTCTTAGTCATAACCAAGTACATAATAAAATTTGTTATTCATGAATTGTGCACTTCAAAATGGTTAAGAAGGTAAATTTTATGTTATATATTTTACTATTTTAAAAAAACAACTTATTCAACAGAACTAGATATCTAGGATCATAAGTGGATTCTGAGATCTTGAAAGCCAGGCTAACAGGAACTATAAAAAGAGAAGAAGCCGATGACAGATTCAAGGTGAAAGGGCTAAGATCAGAAAATTAGGAAAATGAAAAGAATAGAATTCCCCAGAAGCCAAGAAGAGGAGTGTTTCAAGGAATAGGAGTAAAACAATGAAAATAAAAACAGAAATCAATGAATCAGCCAGTAACTTTAAAAAAAAAAAAAACCCAAGACCAAAGTCCTTTGAAACACAAAATTAAAGTATAAACACCTTCAGAATATCATATCACTTGCAGATATGATTATTCACCTAGAAAACCCAGGTACTAAAAACTATTTTGAACTATAATAGAGTACTGTAAGGGATTTAAAATTTTTTAAATTATATAAAAATTAATAGCTTCCTTTATACCAAATGGTCCAATTAAAAATATGGTAAAATTCACTTAAAATTTCTTAAAAGAGCAAAGAGACAAGTATCTGGTCATAAACATAACAAGAAATGTACTAAAACTAGATGAATAACTTTTAAAATTGAATTCAATATTTTATTGAAGTACATAAAAGACTCAACTACATAGACAATATTCCTTGGTGGAAAGACCAAATAATTATATCAGGTCTTCCCAAAATACTGTATTGGTTTATTACCAATATGAAAATCTAAAAATTATATTTTGGAATTTGAAAAGTAATTCTGAATTCATTTGAAATAATAAATATGACAAATTAGCCAAAGATATGAGAAAGGAAATAACGGAATACTTGTTCCTCAATTAGGGAGCAACAGATTATTAAAACTTATGCAGATATAAGAATTAGAACCAGAACACCGCTGTTAGAATCAATAAGCTGAGAGAAAAAGAATTAAAATAATATAAGTTATATTATTAAGGCCACATTCAGTTGGTGATAAAAGAACTGTTTCATAAGTTTTGCTGAGGCAATTGGTTGACTATTTTGGAAGAGAACTACACCTCATTTTCTACTAGGTGCCAGAATAAACCCAGATAGATTTAAAACTTACATGTGGCAAATATTTTATTTTTGCTCTGCATTTCTTTGCTTATTACTTATCCACATTTTGTGGTTGGATTCAGATCAATTGATGAAAAAGTTCTTAGTTACAATGGGAATTCTTTATTTATCATGTAGTTTTGGTAATATGAAGAAAATGTTCTGTCTGTCCTCCAAATAGTCATATTGCTTTAAATTTCTAAAATAAGAACTTGTAATTCTCAAACTGAAAACTATGTTACATGATAAAGCTCTCATCTTGGAACCAGTAGGCTTTCTTTCTTTACCCAGCTCTACCACTGACTGGACCATGGACAATTTAATTCTGTCCATGCTATGGAATCATATTAAATAGTGAAAAAAATAATAATACATTGCCTGTTGTCCAGACCATAGGATATGAACATCAGAAATGAATTCTAAAGGCTATGAGAAAGTTTCCTTATTTTAAAAATACTATATAATCCTCCTCCTAYTATTTTAGCTGTTACTCTTTGCACAGGTAGCAATATGTTCATGCAGACATCATCTACATTTCTTCTTGCAAGAGCCTGAAAATTAATGGAACAGAGCACAGACCAGAAGTACTTTATACCTGATGAGAGTCTGACTTGACTTTCCCAATTGCACTTCCCATTTTATTTCTTAGTTCCTGCTTTGGATGACCAACTTCTCCCAGGCCCTTAATTTGCTATTGAAGTTTAACAAGTGTCTATTGTTTAACACTTCTCACTACATTCCCATGAGTTCCTTATAGGAAATAGACCTTATGAGCTTGACAGGAACTTCTATTATGCATTGAAGGTAAGTAATATCCCAAATGCTTACTTGACTAGCTCATCAAATCTTGGTGCCTTTATTCCCCCACTCACTCCTCAACACTACAAAATAAGTAAAATGATTTTTAAGCATCCAGTCTTATGGGAAACTAGTATATTATCTCTTTATTGGGAGCATTTTACAGAGATTGGTTTTGGTTTGGAGTTACTCAGGAAAAATAATGTAGTACAAAAGATTACTCTACAAGAGATCCAAATCTGCTGCTGAAAATCCAAAGTAATTAAGTTTATCTTGCACTTCAAAACAGAACAGAAAGGAGCTCAAGCAATAATTTTTTGTTTTCAAATTTGGAATTCTGTCCCTTTTCCTTCCTTTTCTACTGGGAGGTTCAAGGCCAAGTGGTTGGTTAGTGAGAAAGGCTAAGGGACAACCTTTTCTCCTCTTTCACAAGGTTAGGTCAGGCATCAGGTAGACATTTCCTGACCAAAATAATGGCTAATAGGCCTTAGCAGACTTGGGTGCAAATTGCTATTGGATTCTTGTAGGTGTGGCTGCTTCTCCTATTGGAACAGCAAATCCAAATTCTTCTCTAGAGGCTAACTAAAATAGAAATAAATAGAGTGGACATTGGATGACCTGGTTCCAAGCTACATGAACCCATCTGGTTACAGGGAAAGAATTCCAGCTTATGTTAGGCCGAACTCATCACAGTATAACATTGAGAATGGGGCCCAAGCCCCAGCTGGTGACATGGATTACCTGACCTTGTTCTCTTTTTATATACGGTGGAGGGGTGACCCATAATGAACAGAATTTGTGTTCTCTTAGTTCCATAGTCAAATATCTCAATTTATTTCCTGAAATTTAGTGTTTATGCTAACTTCCAAAGCACATCACTAAAGTTTCAAAAGAAACTTCTAAGTCCAAATACAGCCTATCTCATCTTGTAAAATCTTTAATACTGCAAGGAAAATTAAAAATTCTGAGACAATATTTGCTTTTTAAATATCAGTGGTAAAAAAAAGATCTGTTTGTGCTCTAATCATAATTTCTGAAAAAGTCTAAAAGGAAACATACAAACATATTAATAACTTTGCTAAAGAGTGAGATAACAATCATTTTTCCTATTTTTCCAAATTTTTCATAATATTTGTTTTGCTGCTTTTAATCCTAATAATATTAATAGCAATAATAATAGTAATAGTAACTACCACTTATATGTGCTCATTTAAAAGTGTATAGAAAATAGAGAAAAGGCTGTTCTCAAGCTTAAAAGAGACTTTTTTCTGACTCTTCAGAAGTCCAAAGAAATTTTAGTGACTATAAAACTTAACTTATTCAAATCTTTATCACCAGAATCTAGAGTATGCTCACATCCCTTGTGAATATATGTACACATAAAAATATACGTCTATCTGTATATCATACATACACATAAGAGTTGTAGAATAACAAATACTCTCCCTGCTTTTCTTCTCCCCATTTTCTATCCTTCCTTCGTCTAATTGCTCAAACAACCAAGACAGGAAAATGAAACATTGTGTGTTTTTAAATTTTCATTATGCCTTTGACTTATTAAATGCTGCCTGCCCTGTTTCAAAGGCAATTTGTTGGACTTCCATGGCTACATCTTACAGATTAATCCCTCACCAATTAATAACTTATAAACCCCTGACAAAATATTTTAAAACAATCTGAGAATTCTTAGGAATAAGCAAAAGTAGGAAGATTGTGTAGTAGTCAAAACTTATGAAAACACTGGAGGATGTGAATTTCGGGTTTATTGTGGCTTTTTCCTAAATACAGTGTGTAATTGCAAAATAGCACAGTACAGGTGATAAAAGCTTCAACAGAATGCCTTTCATTATTCTGGTCAGAAGAATCAGGGAACAGAGCCCAGGCAACAATCATCACTGAGGAGTACAAGAGAAGTCCCAGAAAAGAGAGTGCCAGAGAAGATCTCCTCCAGTTCTGTGTCTACATCCCACACAAGTCTCAGACTCACCTTTGAACCATGTATATGTGGGGCAAACTCAAAGCAGCACCACAAAGGTGTGGACTGAACTTGCCAGCCACAGAGAGTGAGAGCAAGCTTACGGTGAGTACAACCTGGTGAATCATCTGCTAAATGAAAAATGCCAACATTCTTCAGAGAGAATATAGCAGAATCCTTAGTGTACTCAACAAAACATTCACAATGTCCACAATATAGTCTAAAAGTACTTGGCAGAAAAATGTGACTCATTTAATGACATTCATCCAGTGTCTTATTCAGAAATGACCCAGATATTGAAATTATTGGACAAGAATTTTTTTTTCAGTACAGTGTATGGAACCAAAGGCCTGAGGCTTTGAGCCTCCACCCCTTTTCATTTTATTTTGAGGTCTCATTGTTTCCCAGGCTGGTCTCAATCTTGCAATTTTTCTGCTTCAACCTCCCAAGTAGCTGGGTTTATAGACATATACCTCTGAGACCACCTTAAACAAGGATTTTAACGCAGTTATTATAACTATGCTCATTGAAGCAAAGGAAAATACACTAGAGATAACTAAGAAAATATTAGTATAGAAAGAAAATTAAATATAGAAAGTTTACACCTAAAAACATAATATTTTTAGTAAAAATTTGGCTAGCAAAATGAAATGTCAGAGAAAAGACTGAACTAGAAGGAAAATCAACAGAAGAAAAAAGCTTTAAGAAAAAAAGAGAGCACCTCGAAATCCTGTAGAGACAGTATCAATACCCTAACCAAGTAAGATAATCCATATTCCAAAAAGACAGGAGAAAATGGAGCAGAAAAAAAACACTTGAAAAAAATATTTTTGAGAAATTCCCAAATTTGGAGAAAGATATAAATTGAGAGATTTAAGAAGCTCAGTCAACTCCAAGTGAGATAAATTTAAATAAAACTCCAAGTAAGCTACAGAAAACCAAAGCCAAAGATAAAATTTGAAAGCTGGCAGAAGTAAACAATACATTATTTACAAGGAAACAATTCAAATGATCATAGACTTCCCACAGGACAGCACTTAGAACAGAGGAGTGTGAAACAAGGTCTGTAGCCTCACTAAAACAAAACAAAACTGTCATCTCAAAATTTTATATGGGTCACATTTTTTTAAATAGGGCAAAATAAAGACATTCAGATAGAGGAAAATGAAGAGAATTGTTCACCAGTCCAAACAAACTATAAGAAATGCTTAATAAAATTCTTCAAGCTAAAAAGTAATTATAGCAGAGAGAAATCTGAATCCCCAAGAATCTAATGAAGCCCAGCACAGAGGTGCACACCCACCTGTAATACTGTAGTTTGGGAAGCTGAGGCAGGAGGATCACAAGTTCAAATGAGGCTCAACAACTTAGTGAGGCCCTAAGCACTTAGTGAGATCTCAAAATAAAAAATAAAAGGGCTAAGTATATGGCTCAGTGGTTGAGCACCCCTGGGTTCAATCCCCAGTATATACACATGTGTGTATATATATTAGAAAATCAAATTCGAAATAATAACTTTAAAAGGATAATATATCCTGACCTAATAGTGTTTGTCCCCTTGAAAAATTAAGACTACAAATTTAATTATACTTATTTGAAAATCACTAGAATTCACAATATTAACATAGTGTAGGAGAAAAAAACACATGATCATTTCAATAGATAGTGGAAAAGCTTTTGGTTAAATTCAATACCCACTCATGATAAAAATAAATAAACAAATAACCCTGATAAAACTATGAATCATGAAGAAACCATTTCAATATGATTAAAGGAATTTTTAAAAAACAATTTAAAACTAACATATTTATGTTTTCCCCCTAAACTGAAAACAAGGCAAAAATGCCTCACTCTTACTATAACTTCAGTATTATATTGGAGGTCCTAGCCAATGCAAGAAAAAGAACTAAAAGGAATAAAGTTTGAAAAGGAAAAGGTGAAATTCCCTATTTCCTTGATATGATTTTCTTATGAAATCTAGAAAACAACTACTAACACTAATGGATGCTGAAATATAAAATCAATTGTATTTTTATATCCTAGCAGCAAACAATCAGTGTTTTCTAATTCCAGTTACACTGATGCCTCCTCAAAACATAAAATATTTATGAATTAATCTAACCAAAAAATGCCCCAAATTTCTACAATGAAAATTACAGTACATTGTTAATAGAAATTAAAAACTGCACAAATGGAGACATACTATGCCTATTTTAGATACTAATATCATTAAAATGGCAGTTCTCCCCCAGTTGATCTACAGATTCAATGCAGTCCCCACCAAAATTTCAGATTTGTTTGTTTTTTGAAATTACAAGMTGATTCTAAAATGTATAGAAATTCAAATGGTTTTAAATCACAAAAGGGATATATTAAAAGAAATATCTGGAGAATTTATACTGTTCAACTTCAAAACTTACACTACAGTAAGTTATAGTAAGCAAGGCAAAGTTCCTGATAAATCATTATGCTGAGTAAAGGAAGCCAGACACAAAAGAAGGCATACTATATGCTCCTTTAAAAAAAATGCAACCTATGATATAGTGTCTCACAGCAGATAGGTGATGTCTTGGGGATAAGGGGTAAGAACAGAAATGAATAGCAGAGTGGGCAGAGAAAGGAAAAGTTTCAGTTACTTGATTACAGTAATTGCTTCAAAGATGTATATGTCTGTCAAAATAAATTGCACAGCTCTACATTGTACAAAATATACATTTGTGTAGTTTATTGATTATAAATTATACTTGTATGATATTTTAAATAGGAAAAGAGCAATTTGCTAAACATTTATATTTGCATCTTTAAAAATAACTATTGATTTTCTTTAAACTTCTTTAATGGTAGTCTACAATAGATTCATTGAATGTCTATGGCCTTCAAGGACAAAGAATCCTTGCATTAAGCACACAATGTCCTACTGCCTACCAAACTCAGGATACAAACTCCGAAACTTCTCTATTCTGAAGTTAAGACACACCAGTCACAATGGGAGTGATCACCTCCTGTGATGTTAAACCTCAAACAAGCTACCCTGTAAAGGCATAGCACAGAAAGTCAGAGAAATAGAAATTAAATTTCCTCACTGTGACCTTTTGCTCTCCCCAAAGCTTCTCTGATTCCTCCTCCTCTTTTTTTCTTTTTTTCCTTCTTTCCCCACAGCCCAGTCTGTCACAGTATACCTTCCATCCAGGTTTTCACTCCCACCACCTCTTCAATTCGTGCTCATTTTCCCATGAAAGTTAGACTTTAATTTCAGCCCATAACCCAAGAAGCTCAGCCCCTGTTCCAGCCTCCAATCCCTTCTCAATCCGGCCCTGTCTTTAGCCCTGATTTCTGCGGGGCCTGGAACCTGCCAAAGTGGATTAGAGCAACGGAACAGAAGAGATAACTGCTCTGCTCCTGTATCACGGTCACTCCTTCCCACGGAATCCAAAGACACCAGGGTCCCAATCCGAGGTCTACTCTCACCTGTCTCCGAGGACGTCCGTGTTCTCATTCAAGTGTCAAAGATTCACCCTATGGGGCGGGCGGGATTTGCAACTGCCCCTGGTAGGGCGCAGGGGCCGGGTGGGATCAACCTGTTCAATGCGGAAAGGACGCGCGCTCCGTCGCCAGGCAACAAGCCTCGAGCGCTGGCTCTCCCTACTCCCACCCCTCACCCCCGCCCCTGGCTGCAGAGAATCCTCTTTGCGCTGGTGGAACCCCCTCCAGGTCCTGGAGCCTAAACCCAGACTGAGATGCCTCATTCCCCGCACTCCGCCGGTGGAGAAGGCGCTGGTTCCAAAGAGCCCCCTAGACTGAAGCCTCCTGCATGGGCTGTTTTTGCTCAGTTTAAGCAATCGTTTTTCTTAGCATTCTTATTCTGTGTTACATAATAATGCTGGACCTCAAGACAGACGGTTCCTCTGCCTATTTAAAAGAAAATGCACTGTCAGTTAAGGGTACATTTCAGGGAGTATGCTTCCATGCTGTCTAATGTGAGGGTAATTTGTAAAAAGAACCTTCAAATCGAGGGCATGAGATTCAGATTTCTGGAAAATTCATATTATAATCTCAGATTCAGCCATATTCAGAATTTCTGATGTGGTCCAAGACTCAATAATTGGCATTCATAGTAGTTTCATAATAGCTAAATCATAATAGCTAAAAACTGAAACAACCCAAATGTCATCAAAACTAATATTCACAAATTAATTGTGATATATTTATAAATGCAATAACATACATTAAAGAAATGAACAAATTTTAGCTTTGGGGAACAGCAAAGATGAAACTCTCAGAAATATAATGTTAAGTAAAGGAGCCAGACATARAGGGATACTTACACTATGAGTCCATCATACAAGGGTCAAACCCTGATCAGCACAAAGTGGCATGGATGCATGATATGTTACAAATAAACAAAAGAAAGTAATAATCACAAAAACCAGAGAGTAGTCATCTTCAGAGAGGGAAAGTTAATTGTAAGTGGGTAGTCAGCACTAGAGTCTTAGGGGGCTAGGAATGTTCTACTTTTTAAACTTTTTAACCTTGGTGATGGCTATTTGGATTTTTTCTTTGTGATAAACTGGTATTTTCTGTTTTGTTCATCTTCATGTGTAATATTTCACTTTTGTTGTTGTTGTTGCTGTTACCAGTGATTGAACCCAAGGGTACTTAACCACTAAAACATGTCCCCAGTCCTTTTTTTATTTTTTTATTGTGAGACAGGATCTTGCTGAGTTGCTTGCAGTCTTGCTAAGTCACTGAGGGTGGCTTCAAACCTGCAATCCTCCTGCCTTGATCTCCTGAGCCACTGGGATTACAGATGTGCACCACCAAGCTTCACCATTTTTTAAGGGACAAAAAGAAAAAAAAACAATTTAATGAAATAACGTAAATGAAAGTGCTTTATTCAATATTTGGCACTTAGCAGGCCCTCAAACGTTTATTTTCTAGCCCTCTACTCTCTATCAACCCCCCTCTCCAAATACTCAGGCAACTCAAAAGTGACATCAGGATAGTGGCAAATAGAATCTTCT